GCCTGCGCGCATGTGCTGCAGAGGCTGAAGCTGGCTCCCCTGTAACCGGGGCCGCTGCCGTGCTGGGCACGGAATGATGGCGTCCGCCTCCTTGCCCACGAGATCGCCCTTCTCCTTGTGTGAATAGCATTCCTCCTTCGTACGTGGATATGCTAGTCTTGTGTACGTGTTCCTCAGTTTAAAAGGACGTTCCTTTCTGCCTTGGAGGGCTTCCAGTTCAGCTCCACATCTTCTTGAGCAAACGACTTTTTGGTAGCCTCCCAGAAAAACTAGTCGCAGGAAAGGCTTTCTATTTCTGTTTTGCTTTTCCAGCGTCTCTATATGTGTTTTAAACGTACCTGATTAGGAACACAAGACTTATTTTTGAATACTGTTAGTCTGAAAATACTGTTCCACAGTAAAGAAACAGACCTGTTCTCCCTGAAGAAAACTGGAGTAAAACCAAAACCTAAAGAAAGTGCTCCTTCCTATCACCCTTCTATCTTAACACAAACATAACTAAAGCTTTTTATCTTGTTTGGAGTGGTATTTTATTGTCTGTACGGTTTTAGCTGCATGCAGCAAGTCCAGCTGCATATCTAAGCTCTTCAGCTAAACTCTTTCACAAAGAATAGCTTCATAAAGTATGTGGTATTTCTACATGCTGGCACAAGGGAAATTTTTTTTTTTTTAAAAAAAGTGTTTCTTTTTTTTTAATCATGTTACCTGAATATTGGTTTTCTTTTTGTGAAGATGGTAAGCCTATGCTGCGTCAGGGCGACACAGGAGACTGGATTGGCACATTTCTGGGTCATAAAGGTGCTGTTTGGGGTGCCACTTTGAACACAGATGCCACTAAAGCAGCTACAGCAGCAGCAGATTTTACAGCGTAAGTAAATTAACTGTCTTTGAAGTCTCTATTTTGATTTTAGTCTATAGTGCTCTTTTGCTGACATAGCTGTAGAAAATTACTGATTAATTTGTTTTTCTTTAGTAATTGTTAGCTTATTTATGGCTAGCCAAATTAAAACCTAGACTTTTAGGTTCTTGAAAGCAGCTACAGTTAATTCTGTCATGATGAACAACTATGATTGCTTCTTGATTACCATACCGGTTTGCTAGAATAACATTTCTATGTGGCTCTAATCTCTGGCACTGTAGTTACAGCAGAGTTGAAAGAGTGATTTTTATTTTGCTTCTACCAGTTAGCTTCTCTTTATCACAAGAAAACTCATGTGAAAATTCTAGTGAATTATTTCTTTGATGGTTTTTTGTTGTTTGTATGTGCTGTTTGCAGCCTACGTTAATATTTGGCAAGTTGAATACTGTTAGTAGAGGGCAATCTCTATTAAGTTGCAGAGAAGAACTGCCTTTGTCTTAAAACTAAAATGCTAATTAGTCTGAGTTATCCTGAAGAAATGGATAAAGGAAAATGGTGGGATAGTACAAAAAAAAAAAAAAGCTTTAGTAAAAGCACATAAAAATATTCTCACTGACTAATTGGGTTATAACTTATAACTCTTAGTATAAGAGTGTTTATGATAAAATATTATGATGGGGTCAGGAAAAATTGCTTGCAAACTAATCTGACTGTTCAAGTGGATTTGTCCTGGTGCTACTAAAACACAAATGTTCTCTCTTGCTGTTTAGCAAAGTGTGGGATGCTGTGTCAGGCGATGAACTAATCACGTTGGCTCACAAGCACATTGTCAAAAGTGTGGATTTTACACAGGTACGAAAAACCTTTATACCTTATTCACCAGGGAAGAAAGCTCTTGAGTATGTTTTGCTGCTAGTTACTTCTCTACTTTTTATGTGTATCTTAACAGGCAAATAATCTAGCATACCACGTCTAGTTTTTAAGATTGTAACTTTAATGTGTTAGAGGCTGTCTGAGAGAAAGAACAGGGTTTTTTAAGACTCATGGATGAAGGCTGGTATTTTGATTCAAAATAGAGTTGACCCTTTATAACTTCTGTTTCAGGATAGCAATTATCTGTTAACAGGTGGACAAGATAAACTGTTGCGTATCTACGACTTGAGCAAGCCAGAAGCAGGTGAGTCTGCTTTTAGAACTCATTTTTGTTTCTTGGAGTTAAATAAAAGTTATAAATTAAGAGCTATGTTCTGTTATAAATCACAAAAGACAAAGTTGAGGATTGTTTTACAAATGCAGTGTCTGTAACCTTTTGCTAGAGTAAGATAATTTGTATGTTTTAAGTTTATGCTTTTGCAAGTGAATTAGAGTTTATCTATAATGAACTTCAAGGACAGCATGTTTCAGTTTAACACCAGCTCATTAGAAATAGGTCTAATTAATTAAAATCTAGTAATCTGAAAGAAAAACAACTCCATATAAAAGTGTGTTTACATTCATGTTGATTCTGAACTACTGGCCATCGATATGAAGCTCGAGAACCTTAATGTTAAACTAGTGAAGCTTTTTAAATTTAGGCAATTGGATACCCAGTTTACATTTATCCTGTTCCTGGAATGAGATTGACAAATACAGTCCTAAGTGCTTGAACTAATTTTGCAGCTTCTAGTAAATGGAAATCTATATAGTTTAAGAAAGCTCCAAACTGTTGCATGACATTGTTTCGTTTTCTTCCATGTATTAAAATATTTGGCTTTATTTTAAGAACCTGACGTTGTCAGTGGACATACTTCTGGTATTAAAAAGGCTTTATGGAGCAGTGATGACAAACAGATTCTTTCAGCTGATGATAAAACTGTCCGGTAAGAAAAAGTAACTTCCACTTTTCTAATGAGCTCACTTTTTATTTATCTTCATAATCTGTGTGAGAAGATAGTTAATGCTTTTTTGGTAAAGGATACAAGTAATGCGAGTTATTTGCTCCTAGATTATTACAGCTGCATGCCTAGTACTGCTTTCTTCTGCTGTTAGAGACATAACTTTTGTAATAATTCTAATTTACCCTGTAAATGTGTCCTCCCTGATAAGAAGAGATGGTCTTTGAGAACTGCATAGTAGAATAATTTTATACCTTCCATAATCCTAGAAGAGATTAATTTATAGACAAGTCTTGTGAATACATATTGCGCTGAGGTATTGCTGCCTTGTATTCTGCAATCCAGCCTTAAAAAGATGCACAAGGTGTGGACTAGCAGGGGACTGGGGTAAACAGCTGGGAGAAGTATCTGGAAACAGCGCACATCGATAGATGTAGCCCACTTTCTCTGCCATGCTGATAAGTTGAGTAGGCTTTAGTGTTTTTAGAAGATGGCTCATCCAGTTACAGTTAAGTGTTTGTTTACTTTATGCCCAATTGGTAGGAGACGTGCTGAAACTTAGACAAACCTGGCTGCTGGGGACATGAATTGACAAAGACCCTTCCTCAGACTACACTGCCCAGAAAAGATGGGCGATGTGCCGTACCGCTTCCTCAGCTTTCTGGCTGATACGACCAGTGTTGTTTCATGGCTAGCCATCTGTATATTTACGGCACAAAGGAGAGAGAAATAGAATGGTCTTTTCTGCTTTGTGGAAGGAGGGATGGGAGGGTGGAGTCACTGGCGCAATTTCCCTGTAGTCTCCTTTTCAGCTCCAGTTCTTTTCAGTTTCCTAGGGTACAATAGAGGCAAGAGCCTTGTCTATTTTTTGCTGAATTGTAGAAACAGAAGCGCAGCGGTCAGCTAATGAGTGAAGATTCTTACTTGTCATAGGAAAGCAATTTCATTTTGGTTTAGATAGCTCTTGCACCCCTAGGTAAACTACCTCCTTGGTAACTATATTATCTTAAATTAATCTCTGTTCTTTGTATGAATTGGCATTAGTACCTCTTTGTCTTGTGAGGTGTAAAGGCAGAAAGGAATTTTCAAGCGTTGCTTCTAGAAAGCTCTATTGCTCAGGACACTTATAACAAGGTTTTTAATCTCTGAGAGAATCCTTGGGTAGTTAAATGGTATGTGTACCATTTAATATTGTTGCATTAAGCTTTAAAAATAGCAGTATATTAAAGTAAGCGCATCTTCATTTTCACTTAGGCAAAGTTTTAAGATAAGGATGCCACTGGAAATCTGAAGTACCTGTGGAATCAAACCACGTTCTTTGTTAGGAGGCTTTTTTGATCCAAATCTTGACATGGATGGGAGGTGAAAATTGTTTGATTTGCTGAAGTAATCAGTGTGTCTTTTTTTTTTTTTGTGTGGTTTTTTTTTTTGTGTGTCTTCTTAAGCCTCTGGGATCGGAGTACCATGACCGAAGTGAAAGCACTAAATGTTGCAATGTCAGTGAGCAGCATGGAGTATGTTCCAGAAGGACAGATACTTGTGATAACCTATGGGAAGACTATTGCTTTTCATAGTGCAGAAACGTGAGTCCGAAACACAGAATTTTCACAGGTTGAGTAATGGGCTTGGTTGTGGGTAAAAACTGACTGTATGAGGCCAAAATCACCAAGCTGTCAGAACTGGTGTCAGTAGATATCTTTGCTTGCCATCTTGTCAGAGGCAGAGTGTGAAACAACTACCCTTCTATAACATAGTGAACCCTAACTGCCTGTAAGATGCTAGACTACCATTTTTGTATTTCACACTAATGATAATTGTGGTTAAAGAAGTTTCAGCCAGGGTTCAGTTCAGTGCTTTTCAGAGAACTAATTATTTATGCATCTCTGTGATGTCTTAAGAAAGCAAGTGACACGCTTAAGTGTATTATAGAAAGTAGTTCTGAACGGGTGAGCCTTTTATTTTGCTTATTCTGAACTCGTTTCTAACTAGATGAGTGTGACTTGCCGGTATTAAAACTTGTTTCAGAAACTGTGTGTGGGTATTCTGTTTTTCTCAAAAGCTGTTGTGATTTGTAGAATCGCAGTTTCTTTGCTCTCAAGATGTTTTTTTTTCCTTTATGAACTTTGTTAACAAACTCTTCCCCCCTCAGTCTAGAGCAGATTAAATCATTTGAAGCACCTGCTACAATCAATTCTGCATCACTTCACCCTGCGAAAGAATGTTTGGTTGCAGGTGGTGAAGATTTTAAACTCTATAAATATGACTATAATACAGGAGAAGAATTAGGTATGTTTGTCTTCTGTAATCAAAAATGACTTCTGAAATGGGCATTAGATTAATGACATAATGACAAATAAATGAAACACGCTCAAATAAGGGCTTAGAATAGCGTGCTCTGCGAGAGGATGAAAAGGTATATTATCAGTTAAGCATTTATCTCTGTATACCTAATGTTATTCTTCTGGAACTAATTAAAGCTTCCATTAAACAGCTCTTTGTACCTATTTAAAAAAAAAAGTTAGGTCATTCTGTATTGCTGCAATACTGAGCTATATGTTAACTGGAGTGTCATACTATACTATTCATTAAATATGTCTAATGAGTTGCAGCTACTTGCCTTTATGAAAAATGTGGTATGTTTGTGTTCCTGTTAATGTTGGTCAAATATATTTCAAAAAAGTGTATTTCCAAGTTCGTTGGTCAATCCTCTCCTCCTTTTAAGTTGTATGTACATAGAGGGCATGGCTGAAGGGACAGAATATGTGTACTCCATGCTACTGGCTTGCTTTGTAGTTTTGCTTGGAGTAATTAAGTGCCTATTTTTAATTAGGTATTCACATTAATATGTTACCTAAATGAGAGGTGGCTGAGATACCAATTAATAGAAGTGTTGTTTCGGGTCAGAAGTTAAATACTGTGCAAGTGCCTCCCATCAGTAGTTTTCCCCCCTCCTCTCATCAGTTTTTTTTACTAAGTAATTTCAGTTGTTGACTGAAATTTGACATTAATAGTCTTGATATATTCTCTTACAGAATCTTACAAAGGACACTTTGGTCCAATTCACTGTGTGAGATTTAGCCCTGATGGAGAGTTGTATGCAAGTGGCTCTGAGGACGGTACACTAAGGCTGTGGCAGACAACAGTAGGGAAAACCTATGGTCTTTGGAAGTGTGTAGTTCCTGGTAAGTGTGCGCTTGTTCCTGGTGAAACTTGGCTGCTTCGTGTGCACTTTTTAAGTAATATCTATCATAAGTGGTAAACATCATCTGAATTCCACACAGTAACTGTACTGTCTTCTGAGGGTCTCTGTCTCTGTTAGATTTAAGGATTTACTTTTGTAGCTGTCGTTTAAGCAATTAACTTCAAACCTGTAAGTTCATTGAATATAAACACTTTGTGGATAGTTAAGCAAACTGTCTGATGTATTTTTTTGTTACAGAGCAAGAAAAAAGAAATACCACTTTTATAAATCTTAAAGAATCCCTAGAAAGACGTGTGGATTATAGTTTTATTTTATATTGTACTTTGGTTCTCTAAAGTTGGGGGGTGAGTAATGTCTAGATAACTCCCAGGTGAATATTCATTAATGGATTGCTTACGCAACTCTTTCTCTGCAACATGAAATGAAGTGGAAATTTGGAGTTTGGGGGTGTTTTGGTTTTTTTTTCATTAAGGTGGGTGGGTGGAACTGAGAGAATTGATTGTTTTTTCTCTCTCTTCTCTACAGAAGAGGAGAATGCAGAAGCAGCAAAAGCAAGGACCACCCTTCCAGGAACTGCAGAGGAGGAAATAGGTAATGCACTGAACTGCCAGCTTCAGCTCAGCTAAGTGTTAACAGATCAGTCAAGGTGTAGTGTTCTTTAGTATGGAAGAGACAGTTTTCTCCAGGTACCCTCTGGCATTTTTCACTCTTCTCAAAGGAGTGCTTTTCAGTGTGTTTTTCCTGAAAATGACTGTGTGGTAAGTGTCAGACTAGTGACTAGAGCTGTGCAGACTGAACAGATGGGGTAGAATAACTGGATCAGGTTAAATAGAAAAACAAATTGAACTGGTCTTTAAGCAACATCTGCAATGTTTCTTTGGTTCATATACCTAAGGTAAAGTTAAATAATACCCTTCTTATTTAATTGCAGAAGATCTTGCCTCTGAAAACTCAGATACGGTGTACAGCTCAACTCCTGAAGTTAAAGCCTGAACATGGCAACTGTTACGCAGCATATGGACATAAGAGACTAAAATAAGTGAACAGTGATAAACAGCAGCCTTCCAGAGTGTGCTCTCTACATAAGGCAAAGATGGGCAGTAATTGATGAGAATGCGGTGGAACTGGCTAGGTGTTGTCTGTAAGAGAACTGAGTACCTAAAAAAAAAAAAAAAAAAATAAAGAAAAGACAAGTAGTAGAGTTTTGCTATCTTCTTAGCATAACTGCCTACTGTCTTTTCAAAGACTTGTGCAAGCCAAGATCCAGTCTCTCCAGTTTCAATTAGACTCATTGTAGTGTGTTTTCTTTATTATGGAGAAGAGATACAATGGCTTTTACCTTTTTTTTTTCCTTGTAAGTTGAAAAATTTGGCTTTAGTTGAAAAGAAAGGATTATGTACAAAAAGTATTTGGTTTGGGTTTTGTTTCATTGTACGTTGCTTCTGAACGTTAACTGTTTTCAGTTGTCTAAATAAAATGCCTCTCAAAACTCATATGTTACTGTGAGCATTGGATTTACGGAATGGAAAAGCAACCGGGTTAATTACATAATCCTTCTTAGCGTCTTGGTTTTGTACTATACAGAGGGAAAGCAGTAAGAATGCTTCAGTGTTGGTACAGAGGGTGGCAAGATCCTTGAACTGTAAGCTTTGTGTCTTTTTATTCTTTGAATGTAAACGTGAGTATCTTAACATCAGACCCAGTAAAAACTCCTAAACTAAACGTGCTGCCTGAAATGTTTGGTTGTATGTGAAAAATCTCAGAGGTTGGCTATGAATCTGTATAAAGCTTGGGTTTAGTCCTCTCGACTGGATAACAAAGTTACTCTTTCAAGGTTACAAATAATTTTTCTTCATTAAAGAAAATACTGCCCTTCTTCTACTTGTCACTTCCTGTAATGTTAGGCTGAAAGCTTTACATAATGCATTCTGTATGGAAAGGAAGAAAGTTACATGGAGGTATATTTATTCATACACCTTTTTTATTTTTTTCATACTTGTCTTTACTGTTCTCTTGGATTTTTTTCCCCAAGTGTACCATGATGCTATCATCTTAGAAAAGTGAAGCTTAACATTTGAAAACTGGGGTGTACATTGAAGCAGGGGCAACTCTGTCTGAACATAAGAAAATAAGTTTCTGTTGTGAAGGGCAACCAAACACTGGAACAGGTTGCCTGGAATGGTTGTGATGTCTCCATTCTTGAAGATACTAGAAACTCACCTGTATGTGGCCTTAGGGAACCTGCTCCAGCTGAACCTGCTTGAGTAGGTGTTTGGACTGGGGTGGTTGACAAAGGTCCATTCCAGCTTCAGGTGTTGGGGTGGGAGAAGTAAGAAGGAAAAGAATAATACCATGAATCATGGTTTCTTTGTGCAAGAGTAGTGTTAAGGGCATGTTATTTCACAGGTGTTATTCCAAAAGAATTCTGCAATTATCTGAATTTTACTCTTAAAAAACAAGCAAATTCCAATCCTCTGGTTTACAGCTGTTTCAGCCTTATCACTAATTCTAGTAAGGCTTAAGAGTGCTCCAAATCTAGTACTTCAGCCGAGGAGCTGTTCATTTTACAAGCTGGAAGGGTGTGTTCAAAACAAGAAAGTTGCACGCCTCACCCTGTGGTGAAACTTCTTGCCAGCTGTGGTCTTTGTGCCATGTTTCAAGTAGGCTGTGTAGCATTTCATGGAGATGTTTGGAATAGCGTCCTCAGATTTCAGAGCAGTGACCCTTTGCTGCTTTACATGATGCTGTTGGGAGTTTGTGGTTTCTTTCCTTGCGCTGAGCAAACAGGGCTAAAGTTGAAAGGTGTTTCATCTAAAATGAGAATATGGACAATGTTGAATACTTTGTTCATGCAAGTTCGTGTCGTTACAACTCTGAAAAACCAAAGTAGAGGCTGTGAAGGTGCCAGTGGCTTTGTCACCGCACTTTGATTCTGCAGGCGTTACTACAAAGTTTTACGAGGTTGGTAAGTTTATGGAGCCCATTGCATACGGGCGATGCTCGTTTCTACTTGAGGATTCAACCTGAAGAAATCCGGAGGTGCCTGACCTCACGATCATCAAGCCGGCAAGCTCGGTGTTACTTACCGCTGGGGAAACAGTGTCCTGGCGGCTCCCGCCAGGGGTGGGGGTAAGGCCTCGGCTGCCGCCTTACCGGCAGCTCCGGTGCGGTGGGCTCGGTACT